GAGGAGGAGGAAGGAGGGGGAAACGAGGAGCCGAGGAGAAGGGAGGGGATGATGAGAAAGAGAAGAAACGGATACGGAGCGGGATGAGGATAAGGAGGGAACGTTGGGATGACCACTTGCAACAGCCGCATGGTGGCCTCGGGTCCAGATCGGCACGCCCGTCGCACGCCTCGGGGCCCACAGGGAACCCCACAGAAGGCCCCAGTGGCAGCGGCCGCATAGAGGCCTCGGGTCCATTTCGGCACGCCCCAGTAACAGCGGCCGCGTGGAGGCCTCTGGTCCAGTTCGGCACGCCCCATCGCACGCCTCGTGGCCCTGAATGGAGCACCAACGAAGGCCCCAGCAGCAGTGTCCGCGTGGAGGCCTCGGGTACATACCGGCACGCCCCATCGCCCGCCTCGTGGCCCATCAAGGAGCCCCACCGAAAGCCAGTGGCACCAGCCGCCGGGCAAAGAGTTCCACCAGAGGCCCCAGTGGCAACGGCCGCATGGAGGCCGCGGGTCCGTGGCCCAACAGGGGCCCCGCCGAGTGTCCCAGTGAAGCGGCCGCATGTCGTCGTTTTCTGTTTCATCCTTTTCCTCCTTCTCCCTCATTCTCCGAATCTCAATGTGAGAAAGCTATATCGGCCATCCGCGACGTCAACCCGGGAACATCTCTTTCCATGCGCGACGCACAACCAAATTCGGTGCTCCCTCCTAAGAAGCGCAGGGTCGGTGAGCCCCATGCGCAGAGTAGCTCCTCCCGCTCGCCTGGACACTTGAAGGCATCCCATGCGCGCGACGGCGTCAAAGAAACAGCCAGCAAGCGCCCAGGAAACTCTGACGAGACTTTGAGACGCCCGCCAAGATGCCCACAAGGCCTCACTTCGTCCTGGGGTCGGTAGTACGGTACTTCGGGCACCCACCTGGGTATGACACTCGCGCCCACATGCGTGGAACCTCTCAACCAATACGCCAATTATGAGGACTTTACATGTCTCTTCTCGAAGCCCAGTGACCACCGCGATGCAGCAAGCATGGCACTTGGGCTTCCCAATGGGGAGCCGCCAGGGGTATGACACGGGCGTGTCCGCGCCCAGATTGCAGATCTCTCAAACAAAGCGCCCGATTTGGGAAGTGTTCGCGTCTCTTTGCGCAGCTTCAAGGTCACCGTGGTGTGGCAGGCACTGCGCTAGGGCCTCCCAAGCGGTGGCTGCAATGGGGGTATGAGACGGGCCCGTTCGCGTCAAGATTGTGGGAACCTCTGAAGCGAAACACAGATTTTGGGCAGCAAGCGAGTCTTATCAGAGCCCCGTGACCACCAATACGCGCCAAGCGTGGCATTTGTGCCTCTCAAAAGCGTGCCGCCAAGGGGGGATCGCACTCACACTCTGGGGACCTCTCAAACGAAACGCCCGTCCTTGAACGTAGACCCATGACCCCCAGGATGTAGCTAGCACGGCACTGGGGCCTCCCAATTGGGAGCCGCCATGAGGAGGTATAACACAAGCCCGTTCACGCCCAGAATGTGGGGCTATCGGGTAGAATGGATGTTTTCGGTCAGACATGTGTCTCTGAACAGAGCCCAGTGATCACAACTATGTAACACGCACGGGGCCGCCAGGGGAGTGTGTGGCACGGGTCCGTTCGCGCCCAGACTCTGAGCACAAGCCATAGTCTTGGGAAGCATGTGTATCATTGGCCAGAACCCCATGAACACTGCGATGTGTCAAAAACGGCACTTGGGCCCCCCACGGGGGAGCCGCAAAAGGTTATGGCACCGGCCCGTTTGCGCCGAGATCGTGGAGACCTCTCAAAGATAGGCGGCGCGCCTGGGGAGAAGTGAGAGGGGGCGGGCCTTCTCAGAAGTCTCGGAAGATTCCCGACCTTATGAAAAGTTTCTAAGCCTTCCCCGAATACATCTAAAAAACACACTCCTTGAAGGCGCGCGGGCTTCTGAGACGCCCCGCCGCCGTCTGAGAAGGCCTTCTCCTTCTCACTTCCCCTCCTCGCTCGCCGCCGATCTCAAAAAGGCACGCTCATGTGTTGGACTGTACGTGTCCGCGTTCAGAGTCCAGGGGACCGCGACGCGGCAAGCCCGGCATCATGAGCCACCGCCAGTGGGGTATGATGCGGGCCCATTCGCGCCCACATGGCGGTGACCCCTCGCGCGACACACCAGTTGTTGGAGGGACCACCGTGTTCTCGCATACAGTAGGGGCTCTGCCAAAATTAACCTTCCCTAAGAGACTTAACCCGAGAACCCCAGGACGTCCATCGATTTTTGGTGTGGGGACGTCACGCTCTCCATGGCAGAGCCTTCGAAACCCAAGAAAACCGCCGACCCTGTCGGCGTGTGACACGGGCTGTTCCGTCGCCATCGCCGTCGCTGCCGCCGTCGCGTCGCCGCCGCCATCACGTCCCCTCCTTCCCCTGAGTCCGTCGCCGCTCTCCCCCTTTCCTTGGGCTCTCGTCCTCAAGCACGCCAGCCAAAGCGAAATGCACCAGCCCATCCACAGCGAAATTAAGCAACATTGTCATTGAGTCGAAGGGAAGCCCCTTCCCCTTGATCCCTTCCCCGCGGGGGGGGGAGGTCCCGGGAGCGGGTCCCGGGGGGTGGGGTCCCGAGTCAGAATACCACCCTCCTGGGGCCCATGGCCCGCCCTCTCCCTCCCATTTCCGTCGAGGCCCGAGGCATCCAGGGTCGGCGGCACCGGCCGTGAGGCCTCAGCAATCCAGGGCACCCTGGAGGCAAGCAATCGGGGATCTTCTGACCCGGGTCAATCCAGACCCGGGTCAATCAGGCCTGCAAAATCCTGCAGGATCCTGCACCCAAACCCGCGTCAATGCGAAGGATCCTGCAGGATCCTGCAGGATCCTGCACCCAAACCCGGGTCAATGCGACCCTGGCGCTGCAGGATCCTGCAAGATCCGGCACTCTGGCTGACCCCCGTCTGCACTGACCCCCGTCTCGAGGCTCCCGAAGCAAGGTGTTTCTTGGCATGGGCTTCCGCTGCAGCCCCATGACCACCGCGATGCGCCGGGCACTGCGCTTGGGCCTTCTGCGGGGCCGCCGGCAGGGGGTACACCTGGGCCCGCTCGCGCCCATCCTGCCAGAGCATCTCGGGTAGCACGCCCGGTTTCGCGGGCACGCGCTCCTGTCAGGCAATGTGCGTACACCACGCGAAATGGTTAAGAAATCATGGGTTAAGAAATTCATGGTCTCAGAACTTGAATAAGAACCCAAAATTTCTATCAAAATCTTAAGAGTTACATTGAAACGTTAAGAATCATCGAGACTCTGGCCGAACATTTAAGTTTTCTTAAGCATCGCCTAAGGTGTACTGCCTCCTTCCAGACACGATCACGCTGGCGTGGCTGGCACGGTACTTGGACCTCCCGCGGGGGAGCCGCCAGTGGGTGTGACAGGTGCCCGCGTACGCCCTGCATGCGAGGACGCCTCAAGCGATACGCCAATGTGTGGAACCTTACGTGTCTCTTCTCGGAGCCCCGTGACCATCGCGATGCGGCAGGTACGGCATTCGGGCAATCGCCAGGGGATCTGGCACGGGCCCGCTCGAGCCTAGACGGTGGCTGCCTCTGGAGCGAAACACCAGTTCTTGGAAGAAGAGTGGGTCCCCTCGCATAGCCCCATGACCACCGCGATGTGGCAGGCACGGCGCTTGGGCCTCCCAAAGGGGCGGCCGCCAGGAGGTATGGTACGGAGCCGTACCCAGATGCCTTTGACCTCCCAAGGGCCCACATCAGCGCGGCGGCCACGGCGCCGACTGGCCTGCTCCACTTATCTGACGTGCAGTGCCCGCAGGTGAATGCGTGCACCACAGCGCCCACATGGCATGACCCCCATTCTCATACACGGACGCATTCAGAATGCAATGTGTACACGCTGAAGCCCGCTCATACATCATATCCAGCCACACACACTGCCCAGTTCACTCGCACTCATACCCATTCATATCGAGGCGCTCATACGCGAACGCACCCAGCCATACTCATTATTGTCCAGACCCATTCATGGTGATTAATATTATCCCAACCGATCATACTCAGACGCACTCACACTCGGACTCACGCACACCCAGACACACTCATACTCAAACTCACTCGCACCCAAACCCGCTCATACTCAGAGTCGATCGCACCCGGCCGCTTCCCGCGTCGAGCAGTTTGGCCTTGAAGCCTATGAGGTCTCCGATCGCGCTCATGCCAGACATGCAGAGGTGATATGGGAGAAGGGGGTCGCACTATGTCGAGATGGCATCCCCTGCCCACCAATCGGCCACATGCGCAAGTGAGGGGCAACGTTATGTGGGGGCAAGCTCGGGGGAGGGGGGAACATCGAGCTTGAATCAACGATGCATCGCCAATTGATCGGTAAGAGTCCCCCGATAGACAAACCGCACGTTCCTTGGCGGGTTGGGCTATCAGACCCCTATTGGTGATGAATGGGTGATTGGGGGTCGATGAATCCCTCCCTGAACATAACGTTGCCCCTGGGCATCGCCCAGGCAGTCACGTGGTTGACAGAGTCCGCGCCATGTCGGAGTTGCGGTCCGAATCGAGCATTTGGGCGCGTGCCCCCCCACCCCATGCTGCACCTCTTTGGCCACGGGACAAAGAGCTTGTCACAGGGTGAGAATGATGTCATGATGCAGTTGGCTCAGAATCCGCTGTAGGACTAGGATTATCTGGAAGATCCAGCGGCTCTCGCTTCTGCAGCGCGTGCAGAGCATCATGAACTATGGGAACTCCTGGAGATCTCGGAACGGATCACTCTCGTCACGTCCTTCTGCTCCGAGTACTGTGCCCCGTCGGCCCCAAGGGGGGGGGGGCATGAGGTCGCCCTGTCAACCGAAGAGGGCAGGGCCAGCGCCCGTGTGCCAGGCTGACTACCGGGCTAAGACGTCCTTCGGAAACTACAGTAGGGGCCCGACCACAAGAAACCTCCTCCTCCTCCTCCTCCTCAGACGACCGTCGATTTTTGGTGTGGGGACATCACGCTTTCCATGACAGAACCATCGAACCCCAAGACACGCAAGGCACCCTGAAGGCAAACAGGGTGTTTCTTGGCATGGGTCTCTACTGTACTCCCGTTGAATGTGTTAAAAAAGGCGCGTAGTGCACCTGATCGAGGAAGCACGCGTGACACCGCCAGCCCGAAATGGGGCGTATGAGGGTGCACTGTCGACCAAAGAGGCCAGGGGGATTGCCCCTGTGCCGAGCTAACTACAGGGCCAGGGTCTCCTTTGGAGAATACCCCTGCTGACTCTAAAAGAAGGCACGCAATGCACCCGACCGAGGCCGCATGCGCGAAAGGGAGATGAAATTCTGGTCGCGTCCAAATCTCAATCGAAGATATTCCATACGTTCAGGCATGGTGACCGCTCAAAGCTCCTAGCGCAAGACAATGCGGCTAGCTGTATACGAATTATATAGTTGTATATATATATACACATATGGATTCCAGGCACTCTTGTGGTGTTGGGTCCTCGTTTTAACAAAACATCGCCCCGCGTTCCTCATTATTTGTTGACCTCTCGTGGGTTCTTCGATCGCCAACTTGAACCGTCCTGGCGCTCAGGCCGTCTTTGGGGCCGTCTTGGTGTCATCCTGGTGCCAATTGGGTCTGTCTGAGGCCTTCATGGGGCGTTCTTGGGACCTTCTTGGGCCGTCTTGGGGCGCTCGCATAAGGAAGGATCACCTCTTGGGACCCTCGAGGCCGTCTTGAGGAGCTCGCGCAGACAGGAGACGTGGTCGCGTCCCACACCCAAATCGACCGCTTCGCACGGATTGGCTTTTCCTGGCCTCCAGCTCGTTTGTTGTCTCACTTGTACTTGTGAAAGGATACCGGTACTCCAGATTTCGTAATAAAGGGAGGGGGGTCTCATTTCGGGGGGGGGTCTCTTCCAGGCTATCTTGGAGGGCCTGGGGGGTCTGGGGACGATGTTTTGGAGGGTTCTCCAACGGGGGAGGTCTGAAATGGCTTGTCTTGGAGGGTCCAGACCCCCTCCCTTTTATTACGAAATCTGGAGTATCCAACTGTGCGACCAAATGGCCGCTTGGCGGAAAGTCATCGAAAAAGAAGGTTAAACGCACCGAGGCCGCGCGGCGCAACAAGTGCCGCCGGCGGCGCTCCCGGTCGTAGATCTGCCGCGCTGGGAAAAAGCTCCACGCGCGCAGGGAGTGCAAGGGCATCCCAGCGGGTCCTACACTACAGCCATTCATGCAGGACCAGCGGTTTCAGGGATGCCACCCTTCAGGCCTCACCGAGAGTACCTGGCACGGAGGAAGAAGACGGTGCAACAGGGACACCTGTACAGGTACCCACTCGCCTTCGTTGTCCTTGCCCCCTCCTCTCATGCTCCTGTTCCCGCTGTTCTGCACCATTAGGCTTCCCAACAGCTTTCTGGCGCCCTCGCTAAACAATGCATGCAAACCACTGGGCGAAGGCACGTCACGAAATAGAACAAGAATAGGCCCACGATGTAGATCCACTTCCACACGACGGACATGTCCAACCGCTTGCTGGGGGTGGGAATGGCGATTCGGTGAGATTACGTCGACTCGCTACACATTGATGCGCGATCATGCGAGGTCACGAAAGAGGCCATGACCTATACCTCTCGAGACCTATACATTTATGTCTATATATAATGTATGTGTGTGCGCGTTGAGTTTGATATTCACGTTGAGTTCCAAACGTGCCCCCGACAGGCGCACCGTTGTGAGAGCAATCCCACTTCTCTGGACGATGATGCCAGCACGTGGACCCCCAACACTGACTCTGTGCAGCATACAAGGTGCAACACATGCGGTCCAATGTAGGTGGCACAATCCATGGGGTGCAATCTCTGGGATGCAACCTGTGGGGTGCAACCTCCGGGGGAATCGCTGGGGGGGTCGATCCACAGGGTGACATCTGCGGAATGCGATCTCAGAGGCACCGCAGGGCATCAACCACAACCCCAGGCATCCGACGCCTTGAACTTCCCAACGCTGGCTCCCCAAAAGGTCTGGTCCCCTTCCCTGGGACCGGCTCGTCCTCCCCCGAGGCGTTCCTTGACGGCCCCGGGCCCAGCGAGGGCCCTCGCAAGCCGCAGGCACCGATAGAGACCTCCGCCGTGAGCTTCACGAGACGTTGGCGGCGAGCGAAGGGGGGAAATGAGAAGGAGAAGGCCTTCTCAGAAGGCGGCGGGACTTCTCAGAAGGCCTTCGCGCCTTCTGAGAAGTTTCTTCCGCCGTCGGGGAAGGCGTAGAAAACTCCTCAGAAGGCCGGGGGACTTCCGAGCCTTCTGAGAAGGCCTTCTCCTCCTCACTTCCCCTCCTCCCTCGCTCGCCGCCGAGGACGGTGGAGGCCCGAGGCGTGGCGCGAACGCGCGGGCGCCGACGCTGCACAAGGCACAGCAGCGCGCGGGCGGCGGCGGCCGACCGTGGCAAACGGAGAACCACACAGGCCAAGCACGGGTGGGGGGCAACGATGGGGGGGGGACCGGCACAAGGGGGGGAAACATCGACCCGGAATCGGCGATAGTTTTAGGTCGGGCATGCCCCCCTTCAGGCGGATTTGGGGCGAAAAACTAAAAACATGGCAAACAAAATACAGCAACTAGCTAGAGCTACTCACGACAAACAAAACTCCGAGACTGCATTTTCTGGTCTACTTTCGAATGCTCCTCCTGTCGAGGGACATGCCCGACGTGACGAGATTCATGGCCGATGGATCAGCGATAGGCCCCCGAGAGCGGCACCGCACGCTCCTGGGCGTGGTGGGCCATCGGGCCCCAGTCGGCGATCAGTCGGCGATCGGGGCCCGACGCATCCCTCCCCGAGCCGAGCCGACCCCCCCCCCCTTATCGTTTTGGTCGACCCAGAGGGGGTCCAGCCGACAGGGGGCGGTGCAATAGACTCGGGGCAGCCGTGCTGCAAACGCACTGCGCGCCGGAAGAGTGTGTAAGGCCTGGTGTTGCAACTACAGTCGGGGCGTTGACCTAAGGAACCCTAAATAAGGAACGAGGCACCTTTTTTCCATACTTTAACATTCGATTTCCGATCGAAAACATAAGGAAAACCTGAGGCAAGCTGTGAAACACGTAAGGAACGCGGAGCCCCTCCCCAACCAAAAGGGTTTCTTCTTCAGGGCCCCGACTGTAGTGCATTGCGCGCAAAAGCCCAGCACTACATCTGCGCCCTGGAATGTCTTGCACACCCCATATCTGCTGCAACCCCACAGTTCTTTTGCGCCAGATCTATTGCACCATGCCCTTGTCGCTGGACCCCTTCTTGGGTCAACCAGAACCGTTCCCCCTGAACGTTTGGAGCCCCGAAACGGTGCGGCGACAGACCGTGCGGTGACCTCGAACTCCCCCGAGACCTCACCGCACGCTCCGTCCACGCACGCTCTTGGGACCTGGGAGGCCCCCTGTCGCCCGAGACGTCCTCGGAGAGGGGCTCGAGCCCCAACACCGTGCGGCGGCCCCGAGGCCCCACCGACTCACTACACGGTGTGGTCACCGTCGGGGATGGACAGACCCCCCTTTAGTAAAACGTGGTTTAGTGAAAACGACCTGAGGCCCAAACCTGCCGGGCGCAAGCCTGGAAAATAACGGCCACGGCGCCCTCTCAAGAACTTAAAACGGACAATTCACTAATCGACGTGTCACTGTTGGGGGTTCTGTCCATCCCCGACACCGCACCGTTTGGGGGCCCCCGAGAACGGGGGCACCAGCTCGTGGGCCCACGGAGGGCTCCCGCGCGCGATCGGCCGACTGCGGCGAGCAGGGGCGGGTCCTTCCCATCACGCGCAGGGCCCTCCGAGTACAGTGCGGGAGCTCTGTTTGGGGGAGGCTCTGAAACTTCTGCCTCTGCACATGTCGCCCTCCGGTAGACCGTCTCCTTCTACTGGGCCCAGCTCGTAGAAATGGGGGGGGATGGGGAGGATTGAGGAAGAAAAAGCGGAAGCCGTACAGTGGAGGCCAGTCCACTGTAAACCTCGCACAAGAAACCCAACCCTGAGACCCCAGGACGTCCATTGATTTTTAGTGTGGGAACGCCACGCTTTCCGTAGCAAAACCGTCGAAACCCAAGAAACCCAGGGCACGCTGGAGGCGAGCAGGGTGTTTCTTGGCATGGGTCTCCACGGTATCACGATGCATGAAGAATCAACGTTCAAGGTGAGAACGGGTCCTGAACTCCCAGACGCTCTGCAGGACCAGCTGTTCACAACGAGCTGTTCTGTTGACAGTCCCTGGCCCCGGGGAGGGCCCCAGGAGCAAGAACGCGGCGACAGACCCCCAGGACGGCCCCTGTTTCGGTGGCAACTCTTGGGAGCCTCCCACACCATCTTGCCGACTCCTGCGAGTCGACGCCTATCGACGCTGATCGGCGCTACATCGACGCTGATCGACGCTAGCGGGCGCTAAATCGGCGCCGTCTCATCGATTCCCAAACGCCAATCTTGCCGTCGTTCGGACGTCCATTTCCCGTGCATCTTTCAGTTTCGTGCGTGTTTTTCTTGGCTCGATGGCCCAGGATGCGCCTCCAGGGTCCTCGCAGAGAAAAACATGCACACGCCCGAGCGATGCCAGGTAATCGGCACTGGCCGACGGCATTAGAAAGTTTTTTTTTTTTTTTTTTTTGTTCCCCCCTTTTTTCCCCACATCCAAAGTGGGGTTCTTGTTTTCTCTGGACACCCCGCGCAGGAACAGGAACACACACACACACTCACACTCACTCACACTCTCTCATCATCAACCTCATCAGCATCATCGATGATGCTCTCTCACATGCTTAGTCACTCACATACTCATCATCCTCATCACTCGCACTCTCTCACACGCTCACGAACATCATCATCATCATCATCGGCATCGGCATCATCCTCATTCAAACATCATCATCGCCACCACCACTCACAATCAATCATCATCCTCTTCACCACTCATCTTCACCACCACTCATCATCCTCATCCTCATCATCGTTGAGTAAATTGTGAAGAAGTCTCAGGCGGGAGCCCCCTCCCTATGGGGCCCGCAGATCATGTTGGTAATCCGAGCGGGTCATCGGGATCCTGTAACTGTCGTCACTTTTGGGCTCCCCAGGCCTGAAAATGGAGGAAGTCTCAGTCGTTGAGTAAATTGTGAGGAAGTCTCAGGCGGGAGCCCCCTCCCTATGGGGCCCGCAGATCATGTTGGTAATCCGAGCGGGTCATCGGAATCCTGAAACTGTCGTCACTTTTGAGCTCCCCAGGCCTGAAAATGGAGGAAGTCTCAGGCGGGAGCCTCGTCTGTGAGTGAATTGGGAGGAAGTCTCAGGCGGGAGCTCCCTCCCTATGGGGCCCGCAGATCATGTTGGTAATCCGAGCGGGTCATCGGAACCCTGTAACTGTCGTCATTTTTGGGCTCGTCAATTTTGAATTTGGAGGAAGTCTCAGGCGGGAGCCTCGTGTCTGAGTGAATTGTGAGGAAGTCTCGGGCGGGAGCCCCCTCCCTATGGGGCCCGCAGATCATGTTGGTAATCCGAGCGGGTCATCGGAACCATGTAACTGTCGTCACTTTTGGGCTCGTCAATTTTGAATTTGGAGGAAGTCTCAGGCGGGAGCCTCGTGTCTGAGTGAATTGTGAGGAAGTCTCGGGCGGGAGCTCCCTCCCTATGGGGCCCGCAGATCATGTTGGTAATCCGAGCGGGTCATCGGAACCCTGTAACTGTCGTCACTTTTGGGCTCCTCAAGCTTGAATATGGAGGAAGTCTCAGGCGGGAGCCTCGTCTGTGAGTGAACTGCGAGGAAGTCTCAGGCGGGAGCCCCCTCCCTATGGGGCCCGCACGTATCCACTGGGACGCACTCCCATGCGCTTCCTCTGGGTCGTGCCCCCGCACGTATCCACTGGGACGCACTCTTGTGCGCTTCCTCTGGGTCGTGGCCCGGCACGTATCCACTGGGACGCACCCTGTGGGGTTGTCCCAACGGCTTGGTCTTGCGGGCCAACGGCTCGCGGGGTTGTCCCGGCAGCCTGGCCCGCGGGGTTGTCCCAACGGCTGCGCGACGTGACCAGTAGAGAACGCGCTTGTGCTGGCCGTGGCGGCGACGGCGCCGAGGAACATCGACATGCGCGCTCATGCAACAGGGAGAGGAGGAGGAGTGGAAGGGGGGCCCGCGCCAAGGCGAGAGGAAATATACGCAGAAGAGACAGCCAGGACGCCTCACCAACCACGAGGACGACGGTGATGGCTTTTTCCAGATTCGCCCAGAGGATTCTTATGTGGGGTTCTTCCGTCGGAGTAATTATTTTTATTTGTTTTGACGGCATTAGAAAGGGTGCACCCGGCTCTCGTGACTTGCCGCCGAATCCCCTTCTCGGTGCCTCGCCCTCTCCCTGCCTGCCTGCCCTGCTCTGCTCGAGGCCCTGGATCTCCGGGGCGTCCCGTCCGCCCCGCGAGGGCCGCCCGCGCCCGGCGGGCCCCCTGGTGTAGG